GCGTATTCGTTTAATTAGACCTTTTATTGAATTTAATATTAACCCTGTGGCTTTAACCAGTGGTGTGCTACTGGAGATGTCGCCCCAATTTTCTATGAAAAAATACGCTACAGGTGGTTTTTTGTAGAAATAATGATACATTCAGGTAGAGTTGTTTCAAAATCTTATGAGCTTTGACCTTCATATGCGCAGAAACATAATTCTGACAATCGCCTAAATTATTCTACGTCCTACAAACATTACATCTATTATTCTCAGTCTATCTCGAGCTGTCGTAGCGTAAACAAGCCTTTGCTCTGATCACAAATATAATAAAATGCTCTATTCTTTATTATTTTAATTTAAGCAATAAAAATATATATAACGAACGTTTGACAGTTGACTTTATTGATGCCCGAGTGCCTTAGTTCATTTCTGGTTGTAACGAGGCACGTGGTCTAATTGTGAGTCAATGTTTTCACAACGTGCTTATTAGAAGAATTATGTGGATATGCCACGGCTTTCGCGGCTCATGAGATTTTGAAACTACTCTACTGTTGTTTTAAATAAATGAAAAATGTTTCTTGTTGTTTTTTAGTAGTGGCAGCCGTTTAGGAGACATTTGGGCTTGTTTCTACGTTTTATTGAATTTTTCTAATAAATTAATCAGTTTATTTGATGAAAACCTCCTGGTTTTAACCAGTGACGTGCTACTAAGGCGTCCGCTCAAGAAAAGAATACGCCACTGGCGGTTTTTTGTAGAAATATTTTTATTTCTAAAAAAAATATCAACTAAAAAAAATATCAACTAAATAATACCATGAAAAAACACCAAGAAACACTTTTCATGTATTTAACGTAACAGTACCCCAATTTAACATTGTTTCTACCAAAAAACCACCATGGCGTATTTTCTCCTTGGGAAAACGGAGCCTAACCTTCAGTAACAGGCCACTGGTCAACACTACGAGGTCAATATTACATTCAATAAAAGGTCCAATAAGCAAAATTTTATAATTTTTTTTTTTTTTGGAAACTTGAACATCCTGTATCTCGAATACCACGCCCCCACCACGAAAAAAATTTTTTGGAGCAAACTCTATTTATTTTTTGCAACTAATGTATTATTTTCTTTCTTTTTGGTTAAAGTTGCATATTTTTCAGAAATTTGATAGCCAGAGCAAAGAGGTTATATGTAACGTTTGCAGAAGAAAGTTAAACGCAGCATTCGAATTTAAGTCAACTTGTCTGAAGAACCATTACACAATTATTCCATATGTGGATTGTGAAAAAATGTTACAGCTCGATATAAGAGACGTGTATACGAAGGAAAAGACAAGCGAGTCAATGGATATTTCAGAGGGTCAGAAAATATGTCGATTGTGTATGGAGCCAGTAGAAAGTGAGGTTAGGTGCATACGTGAAGAGGAACTTGAAGCTATCGAGAAATTGGTTCCTGAAATGGTATCGATGATGTTAAATAGTTACATTTTTCGTAACTTAACGAAACTACTTTGCAGAATATAAATATCATCAAAGATCCAGTTGTGTGTAAGGAATGCTTTGCTTCTGTGTGCACCCACAACAGTTTCCTAAAAAATTGCTTGGAAGTACAGGAAGAAATTAGGGGTATTTTTAATAATGCAGCAACAGAAAGTCAGATAGATACGTCGCCATCTGATTTATTCGTTAAGACTGAAAACCAGGACAAGGAATTCGATATTAACGAGATGGAAATGTCAATCAAAGCTGAAAGTATCGACATAAAATCCGAAGATGACGAAAGGAGGTAAGAGAAGACTATTTTAAGAATAATTTAAAAGGCAAGCGTATAACTCCAGATCTTATTTAATTATGCATCTTTTGCATTAATTTCTTGTATTTCTGAGGGTTTTCACATAATTAATTATTTTTAACATATCTTCAATAAAAGTATTACTAATTGTCGTCAAGAATTTTATTTATATGGTAATAAAATTGAAATAATGCCCTGTGGAGTTCAGAAACTTGCATAATTGCATTTGGAATAACCATGACCCCTTAGAATTAACATTGCACTTTGGAAATATCCTGTATATGTAATTTTTTCAGCGACTCGCTACTGCAGAGCTCCGATAGTGATTTATTCGAGAAGAGTGTCCGTAGAGATGCAGAAGAGGATGGATGTAAACATGAGAATAGATCGATAAACGAATGTATGAATGGGTATGAAACTGAAAATAAAAAAATTTTTCAGAAGCACCGGTTGGTACATAAACATCCTTCACAGGCCAAAATGTACGGGTGTAATGACTGCGATTACAAAACTAAATTCAACAATTGTATCAAACGGCATCAGCTGAAACATAAAGATCCTTCTCAGGTTCAAATGTACAGGTGTAAGGACTGCGATTACGAAACTAAATACAAAAATGATATGAAACAACACCAACTGAAACATGAAGATCCTTCTCGGGTTCAAATGTACAGGTGTAAGGACTGTGATTACGAAACTAAATACAAGGGTGCTATGAAACACCACCAACTGAAACATAAAGATCCTTCTCGGGTTCAAATGTACAGGTGTAATGACTGCGATTACGAAACTATATACAAGACATATATCAAAAGTCACCAACTGAAACATAAAGATCCTTCACAGGTTCAAATGTACAAGTGTAACGACTGCGATTACGGAACTAACTATATGAGTAGTTTCAATCTGCACCAAATGAAGCATAAAGATCCTTCTCAGGTTCAAATGTACAGGTGTGAGGACTGTGATTTCGAAACTAAATACAAAGGTGACTTAAAAAGACACCAACTGAAACACAAAGATCCTTCGCAGGTTCAAACGTACAAGTGTAATGACTGCGATTACGAAACTAAATACAAGGTTTATATGAAAAATCACCAACTGAAACACAAAGATCCTTTGCAGGTTCAAACGTACAAGTGTAACGACTGCAATTACCAAACTAAATACATGGGTGCTATGCAACAACACCAACTGAAACATAAAGATCCTTCTCAGGTTCAAATGTACAGGTGTAAGGACTGTGATTTCGAAACTAAATACAAAGGTCACATGAAAAGACACCAACTGAAACACAAAGATCCTTCGCAGGTTCAAACGTACAAGTGTAATGACTGCGGTTATAAAACTATATACAAGATATATCTCAAATCGCATGAACTGAAGCACAAAGATCCTTCTCAGGTTCAAATGTACAGGTGTAATGAGTGCGACTACAAAACTATAAACAAGAAATATCTCAAAAGGCATCAACTGAAGCATAAAGATCCTCAGGTTCAAACGTACAAGTATAGTGGTATTTTCACGTTGAAAGATCAACTAGGCGGTGTTGCCGATGCCGTATAGACTTGTAAACTGAAATTTCTAATGAAAAGAAGAAATAAATAAACATCGTTTTAGTTAGATAATACGTCAGAAGTTTTGAAATATCTTTATAAAATGTTCAAAATGTCCTTCTCTTGCAATTCTGATGCATGGGTAATTTTTAGCAATATTATTTGTCCCGTTTTTCACTTCTACCTCGGAAACACAGTATTCGATTGCCCACATGATTTTTGAGACAAGCGTTGCGGTAAACCAGAAAGCAATGCTTCGAAAATTATAATGTACCTGGTAGTGGGAGGTTTTTTATTTTATTTAAATCGTATTTGTACAAAGTCAATTCACTCTTCCAGCTTGATATTCATTATTTTTCCTGTCCTAAATTATTTGTGTTGTCATGAATAGGAGTTGTGTACATGTGGATGGCAAGATTATGACGACTTTGGCTTGTTGGCTGAACGAATTTTGCAGTAACCACCTTTATTTTCTATGTTGAAATAGGTGTTTATTTGTTACATTTATTTTTTATTTTTTTTTTTTGACCTCTTTAATTTTTATATGTACACATTTAAAATTAACCCTACGTCCTATGTAATTTATAATTTTCATTTGATTCTTCATAATTTGTGTAGGGAGAACAGGGTTACAAGTGGAAAGAAACATTATTGTATTAACACTGTTCCCTATTGTATTTTCTTAGTATTATTTTAAGGCCTAAATATAAATTTAAATCTTTAGATTTTATTGTGCACTCTTACATGATTATATTATATGTATGTAGGATTAAATGAATTAAATACAATTTCAGTACATATGCTTACACTGTACTGATCTGTTTAAAGGAACCCTTTACTTTTGTTTGTTTTTACACAGTTTTTGTTCTGTAAATATAAAAATCTGTAAATTGATCTGAGCCAAAATGATGACTATTCTAGAATTCTAGGTCTGGGAACTACGTGTTAAAATCATGAGAATTAAATTTGTGGCGCCATCTTTCGAATAAAAATGGTGTTAATATATGGTACTTGATAAATATTACAGTATACTTTAAATTTATAGGCGGTCGTTGTTGGAAATATTCTGTATATTATTTCATACAACGAGACGGCCATGTAAGGTAGTGTCTACCATTATTGATAGATGGCGCTATCTACTTGGTAAAACGGGAAGACGTAATAATAACTTAACTGGTTAAATTTTATTTGTGAATGTAATCAGTAAACGTTCAAAATTATGTTCACCGACGCGTAGACACTTTTGGACACGTTTAATCATGTTTTGACCAATAAATAAAAATAGATTATAGTTCTTAAGTCAGGAGAACGTGGTGGCCACGCAAATAAAAGATAATCTGCTGGTACTAATGTTTGGAATGCTGAAAGTACATCATAGGGTTACGATTTGCTTCAAATCTGTTAGAACAAATTTTCAAATGCAAAATACATTATAGTTACCTACTACTTTGTTTCAAGTAAATTGAAAACTGCACTTAATACAAACAATGCAATGATAATTATGTGCAAAGCGTCTTTAAGAACAAAAAACAGGTTTTTCAGATTTACCATTCTTGTTGTCCCGATAACAGAAGAAGAAGAAGAACAATAACTTTATTCGATGTCTTCTGTCTTCATTGAGGTTAAACAAGGAACACAAGTTACGGTTTGATATTTACATTTCAACGAAAATTGTTGCAATGACTGGTGTTCAAGAAACTTCGTGCATGCTTTGCCTCAAAACTGTAACCGTTAATGGTTTTGAGGTAATAGACGACGTTACTAGAGATACTTTAGATGTTCTTTTGCTGAAATTGGTAAGTCAGTGATAGATATGTATTAGTTCCGGGTCGCTGATCTGTATGGAAACGGTCGATTATCTCCTAAAGTAAGATAGCTATCGAAAAATCATAAGACAAGTTTTAGTGTTTTTTTAAAGCTATTACTGTAAAGAAAATTTAAGTGTCGAAAAGTTATGACGAAACTGTTGCTTTTTCTTTACTGGAACACCCTGTATTTTGTTCCATATTTCAGTTCTCCTCGAAATTCTAAACAAAATTCATTTATCACATCATGCATTGAACGTTTTGTTTAGTGGTATAATATATTTCATTTTCATTTTCAGCCTGCCCAAGTACCACATTCTCTGTTAAAATTATTGTCCTGACATTAGGAATAAAAAAATTCAAGCATATTTCAAATTTAAAATGAAAAAGGGTAATGTTAGTGAATTATTTAAAAAAAGTCTATTATAATTTTGAATAGTTGATGTGTATATGCTAAAGAAAAACTGACATAAATGGTTGTTTAGGTTTTAATTAATTGATTTTATATAATAATTTTAACAATAAAAGTCTTTTGAAAAAATTCTTGAACCGGAAAGAAACGTAAAGAAAGAAATTGTCGCTATTTCTTTCATCTTCATCTATCACATCAGAACCCGATACTCAAGAAAATAAATTTATTATATCATATATACAGGGTGTTTCTTAATAACGTGCTAATATTTAAGGAGGTTACACACGTTAATGGAAAACTGCTCCTGGTGACGGGATTCCAAGATTGCATGTGAGTTTTCTTCAGCCCAAATGTGATTGTTGTGGAAGTTTTGGATGGCGTTTCTGGAAAAGTTGGCTTCATCGGTGAATAAAATTTCAGTGTAAAATAACGAATTTTCATTCACTTTATGAAGAAACAATTTTGATAAGAATTTTTTTTCCAATGTTTAGAGCAATATTTCGTCAATGAAGCGAAAAAAGTAATGTACGTTTCAAATGAAGCACCCTAGAATATATAACATGGAAATCTTCTTGAACCTTTTGTTTAATTTAAAATATATTTACTTTCTTGGGAATTGGGTTCTGGTGTGGTAGTCGGTTAAAAAAAGGATAAAAGAAACAGCAGCGATTTATTTCTTGACGTTTCGTTCCTAATCAACTTTTTCTAGAGTTTTATTGTTAAAATTATATAAAATTTAAAAAAACCATAATAATATTATATTCTGAAAATTGGTCTACTGTTACGATGATTGATGCATAGTTGGTTATATGTAGTTTGTTTTTAGGTATGTATTATCAAAATTATATCTTTATTAGATTAATTGTATTTACTGAAAAGGGGAAAAAAATGTTTCTAAATATTAAGTAGATTTTGTTGTATTTTAGGTTTTAATAATTAACTATATATATAATTTTAACAATAAAAATCTTTTGAAAAAGTTCCTGATCAGGAACGAAACGTCAAGAAAGAAATCACTGCTGTTTCTTTTATCCTTTTTTTAACGACTATCACACCAGAACCCAATTCCCAAGAAAATAAATATATTTTAATATTAAACAAAAGGTTCAAGAAGACTTCCACGTTATATCAATTCGCACAACTCAACACATTACAGCGACTTAACAATAATTGATATTTTCTGCCAACGTTATTTTCTTTCTCTTTGGTTAAAGTTGCATATATTTCAGAAATTTGATAGCAATGGCAAAGAGGTTATATGTAACGTCTGCAGAAGAGAGTTAAACGCAGCATTCGAATTTAAGTCAACTTGTCTGAATACTGATTACACAATTATTCCACATGTGGATTGTGAAAAAATGTTACAGCTCGATATAAGAGATGCGTATATGAAGGAAAAGACCAGCGAGTCAATGGATATTTCAGATGGTCAGAGAATATGTCGATTGTGTATGGATCCAGTAGAAGGTGAGTTTAGGTGCATACGTGAAGAGGAACTTGAAGCTATCGAGAAATTGGCTCCTGAAATGGTATTAATGATATTAAATAGTTAAATTTTTCACAATTTATTCAAACTACTTTTTAGAATATAAATATCATCAAAGATCCCGTTGTATGTAAGGAATGCTTTGATTCTGTGTGCACCCATAATACTTTCCTAAAAAATTGCTCGCAAGTACAGGAAAAAGTTATAGGTATTTTTAATAGCGCAGCAACAGAAGGTCAGATAGATACGTCACCATCTGATTTATTCGTTAAGACTGAAGACCAGGACAAGGAATTCGATATCAGCGAGATGGAAATGTCGATCAAAGCTGAAAGTATCGACATAAAATCGGAAGATGAGGAAAGCAGGTAAGAGAAGACTATTTTAACAATAATTTAAATAGTCTAGTCATTATAGACATGAAACAACCTGTTTCGGGAAAAAAAATATTATTAGACATTTCTCTGGAATATTGTTCGGAAAGGTGTTATAAACAAAATATCAAAAAATCAACTCGAGGCTAGTTGGGAAACTTTGTTTAAACAATGTTCAAAGTTATGGAAAAGTGGTTTTTTGACTCGCATAAAAAAACTATTATTCATAGCGAACAAAAGTTTATACGAAAAAGGTAGGTATTAAATAAACCTATAAAATGAGATAAGTCCGATTAAATTCCGATAGTTTGTTTATGCGCAAGAGCTCAAAAATGGTCAAAAATGGCCGTTTTTTTTCAATTGCTAATTAATGCAATTTTCATCGCAGACACTTGTAATTCAAGATTTTTGAGACTTTTTACACCCTTAATAAGTGGTAAAAATTTCAACCCGAAGGCTTCATTGGTTTGGCGTGGGCAGAAATTCTTATCTAAGAAGATGCTATTTTCAAAAAATTTTGCCCAAGCTCAAAGGCATTGTATATTTTCGATCATTACTTGTTTTTATGCCTAAATAGTTGTATTAACATATGCATTTACTGAGAATTTAATTTTTCAAATTTAATTTGTTTAAAAATGACTTTGAAAAAATGTTAATATTTATTGAATTGTTAAGATAGGTAATTATTATAAAATGAAATAGTAACCTCTATAGTTTAGTTAGTACTATTTTTCTTCGAATTTAAAAAAAAAATCGTTTTAAGTTGATTAGAAGCTGAGATAATTTTTTTTTATTTAATCGCAGTGACCTTAATTATTAATATTAAGAGCCGACATTTGGCAAGAGTATACATTAAAAGCTATATTTTCATGTCCTACATTAACATTAAGGTGAATTCAACTATTTAATTGCAAAAAAGACGACAGCGGCGATGCGTTCTATTACTCAGTCTAGCGAATGCGTGGGGAAAAAAAGCTATAATGACTGGCCTAAAAAGGTAACCGCATAACTCCAGATCTTATTTAATTTTGCATCGCTTGCATAAGTTTTTTGTATTTCTGAGGGTTTTCGCATAATTAATTATTTTTAACATATCTTCAATAAAAATATGACCTAATTGTCATAAAAAATTTGATTTATATGATAATAAAACTGAAACAATGTCTTGTGAAGTTCAGAAAATTGCATAATTGCATTTGGAATAACCTATGACCCCTTAGCATTAACACAACACTTTACATTGGAAAATACCCTGTATATGTAATTTTTTTAGATACTCGCCGCTGCAGAGCTCCGATAGTGAATCATTCGTAAAGAGTGTCCTTAGAGATGCAGAAGAGGATGGATGTAAACATGAGAATAGATTGACAAACGAGTGTAATACGAACGTCAAGCAGGACCACAAAGTATTTTACAAATGTAATAAATGTATTTATGAAACTGGAAGCGAGAGCCGTTTTATAGCACACCGTGCGAGACACGAGAACGATTCGGAAGCATATAAATGTGAATCGTGTGAGTATGAAACAGAAAATAAAAAATTTTTTCAGAAACCTCGGTTGAGGCAGAAAAATCCTTCGGAAATGTGTATGCACCGATGCGGATCATATGATTACAAGACAAGGCACAGGTATGAGCTTGCTAAGAGTCAGGTAAAACACAAAAGTGCATCTGGAGGACGATTGTACGAGTGTGACTTTTGTGATTTCAAAACAAAGCGGAAGGTCAGTTTTAGTAGTCACTATATAAAACACAAAAACTCAACCAATCGTGTAGAATGTGACTATAAAACCAAATACACCGCATTACCGAATAAGGACACTTCACAACTGCTCATTTATAAATGTGATGGTTGCACTTACCAATCGGAGAATAAGACACATTTTACCAGACACAAGTTGGTACATAAACATCCTTCACAGGTCAAAATGTACGGGTGTAACGACTGCGATTTCGAAACTAAATACAAGGAATATATCAAAAGGCATCAACTGAAACATAGAGATCCTTCGCAGGCTCAAGAGTTCAAGTGTAACGACTGCGATTATGAAACTAAATACAAGGGTGAAATGAGAAAACACCAACTGAAACACAAAGATCCTTCGCAGGTTCAAACGTACAGGTGTAATGACTGTGATTACAAAACTATATACAAGAGTTATATGAGACGGCATCAACTGAAACATAGAGATCTTTCGCAGCTTCAAATGTACAGATGTAAAGACTGCGATTACGAAACCAAATACAAGTTTGAAATGAAAAAACACGAACTGAAACACAAAGATCCTTCACAGGTTCAAACGTACAAGTGTAATGACTGTGATTACAATACTATATACAAGTGTTATATGAAAATACACCAACTGAAACACAAAGATCCTTCACAGGTTCAAATGTATAGATGTAAAGACTGCGGTTATGAAACTAAATACAAGAATAATATGAAAAGTCACCAACTGAAACACAAAGATCTTTCGCAGGTTGAAACGTACAGGTGTAATGACTGTGATTACAAAACTAAATATAAGAGTTATATCAAACGGCATCAACTGAAGCATAAAGACCCTTCACAAGTTCAAATGTACAAGTGTAACGACTGCGATTACGAAACTAAATTCCACAATTGTATCAAAGGGCATCAGCTGAAACATAAAGATCCTTCTCAGGTTCAAATGTACAGGTGTAAGGACTGCGATTACGAAACTAAATACAAAAGTGATATGAAACAACACCAACTGAAACATAAAGATTCTTCTCGGGTTCAAATGTACAGGTGTAAGGACTGTGATTTCGAAACTATATACAAGACATATATCAAAAAGCACCAACTGAAACATAAATACCCTTCACAGGTTCAAATGTACAAGTGTAACGACTGCGATTACGAAACTAACTATATGAGTAGTTTCAAACTGCACCAAATGAAGCATAAAGATCCTTCTCAGGTTCAAATGTACAGGTGTAAGGACTGTAATTTCGAAACTAAATACAAAGGTTACTTGAAAAGACACCAACTGAAACACAAAGATCCTACGCAGGTTCAAACGTACAGGTGTAATGACTGCGATTACGAAACTAAATACAAGGTTTATATGAAAAATCACCAACTAAAACACAAAGATCTTTCGCAGATTCAAACGTACAGGTGTAATGACTGTGGTTACAAAACTACATACAAGCCGTATATCAAGAAGCACCAACTGAAACATAAAGACCCTTTACATGTTCAAATGTACAAGTGTAACGACTGTGATTACGAAACTAAATACATGGGTGCTATGCAACAACACCAACTGAAACATAAAGATCCTTCTCAGGTTCAAATGTACAGGTGTAAGGACTGTGATTTCGAAACTAAATACAAAGGTCACATGAAAAGACACCAACTGAAACACAAAGATCCTTCGCAGGTTCAAACGTACAAGTGTAATGACTGTGGTTATAAAACTATATACAAGATATATCTCAAATCGCATGAACTGAAGCACAAAGATCCTTCTCAGGTTCAAATGTACAGGTGTAAGGAGTGCGACTACAAAACTATAAACAAGAAATATCTCAAAAGGCATCAACTGAAGCATAAAGATCCTCAGGTTCAAACGTACAAGTATAGTGGTATTTTCACGTTGAAAGATCAACTAGGCGGTGTTGCCGATGGCGTATAGACTTGTAAACTGAAATTTCTAATGAAAAGAAGAAATAAATAAACATCGTTTTAGTTAGATAATACGTCAGAAGTTTTGAAATATCTTTATAAAATGTTCAAAATGTCCTTCTCTTGCAATTCTGATGCATGGGTAATTTTTAGCAATATTATTTGTCCCGTTTTTCACTTCTACCTCGGAAACACAGTATTCGATTGCCCACATGATTTTTGAGACAAGCGTTGCGGTAAACCAGAAAGCAATGCTTCGAAAATTATAATGTACCTGGTAGTGGGAGGTTTTTTATTTTATTTAAATCGTATTTGTACAAAGTCAATTCACTCTTCCAGCTTGATATTCATTATTTTTCCTGTCCTAAATTATTTGTGTTGTCATGAATAGGAGTTGTGTACATGTGGATGGCAAGATTATGACGACTTTGGCTTGTTGGCTGAACGAATTTTGCAGTAACCACCTTTATTTTCTATGTTGAAATAGGTGTTTATTTGTTACATTTATTTTTTATTTTTTTTTTTTGACCTCTTTAATTTTTATATGTACACATTTAAAATTAACCCTACGTCCTATGTAATTTATAATTTCACTTAATTCTTCGTAATTTGTATATGGGGAACAGGGTTACAAGTGGAAAGAAACATTATTGTATTAACACTGTTCCCTATTGTATTTTCTTAGTATTATTTTAAGGCCTAAATATAAATTTAAATCTTTAGATTTTATTGTGCACTATTATATGATTATATATGTTTGTAGCATTAAATGAATTAAATATAATTTCAGTACATACGCATTACACTGTTTTAAACTGTGTTTAAAACTTTTGTTTGTTTTTACGCAGTTTTTATTCTGTATATAAAAATCTGTAAATTGATCTGAACCAAAATGATAATTATTCTAGAATTCTAGGTCTAGGAATTAAATTTGTGGCGCCATCTTTCGAGTAAAATTGGTGTTAATATATGATAATAAATATTACAGTATACTTTAAATTTATAGGCGGTCGTTGTTGGAAACACTCTGTATATGTATAATTTCAGTCGAGGCGGCTATGTAAGGTAGTGTCTACCATTATTGATAGATGGCGCTATCTACTTGGCAAAATGGGAAAACGAAATGATTAAAAACTTTTCAAAAAAAAAGAGCTGGTTTAAATTTTATTTGTGGATGTAATCAGTATGTAACGTTCAAAATAATTCCATCGACTCGTAAACACTTTTGGACACGTTTAATAATGTTTTGACCAACAAAAAAAAATTATTACTAATTAAAAATAGGTTATAGTTTTTAAATCAGGAGAACGTGGTGGCCACGCAAATAAAAGATTATCTGCTGGTACTAATGTTTGGAATGCTGGAAGTACTTGATAGGGTTACGATTTACTTTAAATCTGATCTAAATTTTCAAATGCAAAATACATTATAGTTACTACTTTTTGTCAAGTAAATTGGAAACTTCACTTATTACAGGCAATGCAACCGTAATTATTTGCAAAGCGTCTTCAAGAACAAAAAACAGGTTTTTCAGATGTAAACCAACAGCGCCATATTCTGAAGAACCAAATTAGTGCTGTGTACAAGAAGAATTGTTTGTGCAAGAATTATAGACGAGTTTTACCATTCTTGTTGTCCCGATAACAGAAGAAGAAGAAGAAGGACAATAACTGTCAATTCTATTCTGTTTCCATTGAGGTTAAATAACTAACACAAGTTACGGTTTTATATTTACATTTCAAAGAAAATTTTTGCAATGGCTGTTGTTCAAGGAACTTCGTGCAAGCTTTGCCTCAAAACTGCAACCGTTAAAGGTTTTGAGGTAATAGACGACGTTACTAGAGATATTTTAGATGTTCTTTTGCTGAAATTGGTAAGTCAGTGATAGATATGTAGGTATTAGTTGGGGGTCGCTGATATGTATGGAAACGGCCGATTATCTCCTACAATAGGATAGCTATAGAAAAGTAATAACACACAAAAGTTTTATGGCTTTTTTTAAAGCTATTACTATAAAGAAAATTTAAGTATCAGTCGAAAAGTTATAACGAAAGAAAGTTTCTTACACACTCTTATTGGTGTCCTCTCGTTCGATGGTAAATTGTAAAAAAGGGTTATAGCTATTGAAAACTTCAAGTGCTCCCTCAGATATATATATATATATATAAATAAAGCCAAAAATTAGACGGCTGTCTAAGTTAAAAACCAAATTTTTTTACAATTTACCATCGAACGAGAGGACACCAATAAGAGTGTGTAAGAAACTTTCTTTCGTTATAACTTTTCGACTGATACTTAAATTTTCTTTATAGTAATAGCTTTAAAAAAAGCCATAAAACTTTTGTGTGTTATTACTTTTCTATAGCTATCCTATTGTAGGANAATCTGATACAAATTTTCAAATGCAAAATACATTATAGTTACTACTTTTTGTCAAGTAAATTGGAAACTTCACTTATTACAGGCAATGCAACCGTAATTATTTGCAAAGCGTCTTCAAGAACAAAAAACAGGTTTTTCAGATGTAAACCAACAGCGCCATATTCTGAAGAACCAAATTAGTGCTGTGTACAAGAAGAATTGTTTGTGCAAGAATTATAGACGAGTTTTACCATTCTTGTTGTCCCGATAACAGAAGAAGAAGAAGAAGGACAATAACTGTCAATTCTATTCTGTTTCCATTGAGGTTAAATAACTAACACAAGTTACGGTTTTATATTTACATTTCAAAGAAAATTTTTGCAATGGCTGTTGTTCAAGGAACTTCGTGCAAGCTTTGCCTCAAAACTGCAACCGTTAAAGGTTTTGAGGTAATAGACGACGTTACTAGAGATATTTTAGATGTTCTTTTGCTGAAATTGGTAAGTCAGTGATAGATATGTAGGTATTAGTTGGGGGTCGCTGATATGTATGGAAACGGCCGATTATCTCCTACAATAGGATAGCTATAGAAAAGTAATAACACACAAAAGTTTTATGGCTTTTTTTAAAGCTATTACTATAAAGAAAATTTAAGTATCAGTCGAAAAGTTATAACGAAAGAAAGTTTCTTACACACTCTTATTGGTGTCCTCTCGTTCGATGGTAAATTGTAAAAAAGGGTTATAGCTATTGAAAACTTCAAGTGCTCCCTCAGATATATATATATATATATAAATAAAGCCAAAAATTAGACGGCTGTCTAAGTTAAAAACCAAATTTTTTTACAATTTACCATCGAACGAGAGGACACCAATAAGAGTGTACCCTTTTTAGACACAAGACTCATTAGGAGAGAGGACAACTC